AACTACTTGGGATGAAATACACAACGCATATTGTGCCGAAGTCCGAGCAGACGAGGACGACCACAATGGGCCAACTCATCGACTGACCTCGGTACAAGCCGAATCCAGAAAAGATCGAAGAAATGATTTCAGGAGAGACCTCATAGCTCCACGACCCAACAGGGAACGACAACTACCATATGTCAGAGCCGTCATCACATCCTCTCAGCGCCACGAAGAGGGCCCATCCCGACCAAGGCCAGGGACTCACCGGAATGAAAGAGGTATGCCCCCTATTATCTGCTCATAATTTTTGTGTATCACCTATAGAAATAGGCTACGCCTTGGAGAAGCTCGGACCTAAGGTGAAGTGGCCGCAAAAGATGAGGTCAGACCCGAATACCATAAAATCAGATGCCCTGTGTGGATTCCACCAAGAGCGAGGACACAAAACTGAGGATTGCATCGCTCTAAGGCAGGAGGTCGTAAACATGCTACGATAGGGACACCTCAAAGAGTTGACCGAGGACGGACCAATTTTGCCAGAGGACGTGAACAACATCAAGGACCACTGAAACTGCCCTCGCCAACCGCACCATCCACATGATCATTGGCGGCAGCGACGATGCGTCTATCAACAATGTGAAATTCACCACAACCCACAAGCTCAAACGGTCAATCACCCATGAACGGTATGACAAACTCAAAGAGAGTATCACCTTCGATAAGTCGGACACCAACAGTTTGGCTTTCCCTCACTATGATGCCCTTGTTATCACTTTATGAATTTTAGATACGGATGTGAGATGCATTATGGTAGACGATGGAAGCGGCACGTGCATTATCCACCCTCGAGTACTTGCACAAATGAAACTCGAGGATAAGATAGTGCCACCCTGCATCACGCTAACAGGTTTTAACAATGGAGTTGAGCGAACGTCCGGCGAAATCACGCTCCCCGTCCTAGCCGGTGGAGTCACTCTGGAAACCACATTCCATATCATGAACCAAGACACAACATACAACGCCATAATAGTGCGACTATCGATACACACCATGAGAGCCATCCCCTCCAGCTTATACCAAATCATCAAATTCCCAACTCCATGGGGAATATTCAGTATACGGGGGGAACAACACACATCTCGGGAATGCTACCGCATCGCTCTAGACTGTATGGTCACTCAACAAACGAAGGACAAAGAAAAAGAGGCATAATAATCAACTGGGTTGAGGTCTAACGAGGACGTCATCAAAGACCCCGATACGGTCGAAGCCACAGAATTGACCATAGAAGACCTCGACCCCGTTCAATTAGATGGCAACGACCATAGCAAGAAAGCTTACGTCGGCTGCAAGCTTCAAGAACCAGGTAAATTTCGTCAATTCTTAACCACTAACGCGACTTGTTAACTTTTAGCCATGCAGATATGCCAGGTATCCCGAAGGAAATTATCACGCACAAGCGAATGTCGACCCACTCCATCCCTCGGTGAGACAGGTCCGGCGTAAGTTCAACTCCGCAATCAACAACGCGGTACGCGAAGAGGTCAGAAAATTATTGGAAAACGGCTCCATCAGGGAGTCAAAATACCCCCAATGGGTCGCCAACGTAGTCATGGTGAAAAAGAAAAATGGAAAGTGGCGAATGTTTACAGATTTGAACAAAGCGTGCCCCAAAGATTCATTTCCCTTGTCTCATATCGACCAACTAATTGACGCGACGGCCGGGTCTGAACTGCTGAGTTTTTTGGATGCCTACTCAAGCTATAATCAAATCCTCATGGAAGAGGAGGATCAGGAGAAAACCACTCTCATCACCCATCAGGGGGCGTACTGCTACAGAGTCATGCCCTTCAGACTGAAAAACGCAAGAGCAACGTACCAAAGGTTAGTAACAAAGATGTTCAAAGACCAACTCAGTAAAACGATGGAAGTCTATATAGATGACATGTTGGTCAAATCCAAAAGGAAAGAATACCACATCGATCACTTGAGAGAAACCTTCAAAATACTCAGGCAATACGGAATGAAACTAAATCCCGAAAAGTGTGCATACCGTGTGGCTTCAGGAAAATTCTTGGGCTTCCTAGTGTCAGAGCGAGGTATCGAGGTCAACCCCGACCAAATCAAAGCCATCAAAGGGATACCAGAGCATTTGACCACCAAAAAACAGGTTAAGAGGTTGACTGGCCGTATCACCGCCCTTTCAAGGTTCATTTCATGATCATCCGATAGGTGCCATAAATTCTTTGGCATACTCAAAAAGGATAAGGACCTACAATGGACCTCTGTGTGCGCCCAAGCCCTAAAAGAATTGAAGGCTTACTTGTCGCCACTATTGCTTTCAAAACCAGAACCAGGGGAGCACCTCCTCGTCTACCTCGCCGTATCCAAAGTAGCTGTGAGCGCGGTCCTGGTCCGAGAAAATAAAGGTACACAGTCTCCTATCTATTACATTAGCAAAACACTAGTCGACGCCGAGACGAGGTACCCTCACCTCGAAAAATTGGCCGTAGCCTTGGTCGTAGCTTCATGAAAGCTTAGACCCTACTTCAAGTACCACACCATCTCGGTAGTCACAACTTTCCCCTTAAGAAGTATTTTTCATAAACCCGAGCTATCAGGCAGGTTGACCAAATGGGCCACAGAACTAAGCGACATGATATCACATATCAATTGTGGACAACTATAAAGTCACAAGTTCTTACTAACTTCGTCGCCAACTTCAGCGCAAAAATAATGCTCAAAATCAAAAAAGAAATTGCCCACACTTCTCCCCAAACACGGGACCTCTAAGTCCTGTACAGCGACGATGCTTCTAATACGTAGGATCCAGACTGGGACTCGTACTCGAAGTTCCGACCGGCGAAGTGATTCGCCAGTCCATAAGGTGCTCGGACATGACTAACAACGAGGCCGAGTATGAGGTTGTAATTGCAGGGTTAAAGCTAGCACTCAAATACGAGGCGAGATAGGTAAGACTACACTACAATTCTCAATGCTTTGTCAACCAAGTCATAAGAACATTCCAGATCAAAGAGCAAAGGTTACAAAAATACCAGACCGAGATCTGTAAGCTGCTGTGAGTTTGACGAATGTCAGCTCGATCAGATCCCCCGAGAACAGAACGCCGAGGCGAACGGCCTCGCCAATTAGCAGCAGCCACCAAAAGAATTATAATCGGAGAAAGTAATGTGGTCCAACTCC